CCCCAAAACCCCAAAACCCCACAAAAAGCGAATACTTGAGTATATTTAATTGTTGGATATTCAAGAATATTAATGATATAATGTGTCAGTAATCATTATTTTAATTTCACATAAGGTTCCCTTAGTCATCTCCGGCTTATATACTCATTATTGATTAGTTATAGGATATTTGAACATTGTCAATCATATCAGCATCTTCTATCTGAAGTTCTTAGATTTTTTTAGCTAAGTATTCTCTCATTTTATAGAAATCTTCTTCAGGAGAAAAAACTTTAGGAAATTCTTTTATTCTCTACCAACTTTCCTCTCCACCAGTTAGTACAGACCTTAGAAAAGAATCACCTTAGTCACTCTCTATCAAACTTATTTCATCTTAGCTGAACCATTTAACTTTCTTACCATCCTCCCAAAGACCAAGTTTTTTCTTCCCATCTTTGGAAATAAATATGCCTATGCCATGCTATTTACCATTAGACCACCATCCCGCATACCTTTTTGAATCTGACCAAGTGTAAATTCCATAGCCATGCTTTTTATCTTCAAGGTAAAAGCCCTCATACATCCTACCATCTTGCCAAGTATAAATACCGAATTCATCCATGATATTTCCTTTCCAGTGGCCGATATACTTTCTACCGTCAGCCCATTTGTAAAATCCATATCCTGAAATTTCATTTTCCTCCCAATTTCCGTCATATGATGCTCCATCTACCCATAAGTATTTCCCTCTGCCATTTTTTTTGCCATCTGCATATTCACCTGTGAATAAGGATCCATCTGGCCATGATTCCTTACCTTATCCATGTTGAAGATCTTATCTCCACATACCTTCATATTTTGCTCCGTTTGAGTGGACATATACACCATACCCATGAGCTTTATCATTTATCCATTGACCATCATAAATTTCTCCTTTAGTATGAGTAAAAATTCCCCTACCATATGCTCTTCCAAGTTCCCATTCTCCCTCGTACTTTGCTCCATCAGGCCATTGCATCAATCCTTTCCCGTATCTGAATCCTTATTTCCACTCTCCATTATATATCGCTCCTGAGCATTTGTAAACATATTCCTTAGTAACTTTTGCGTAAGATAACTTAAATATTTTATTCTTGTTAATAGTTTCCCATAGTTCTTCATCAATGAAATACTTCTTCTTCACCTTCAATGTCTTTTTAAGTATTTAAGTCATAAATCTTGTTCTCACACCTCTTATGACTGCCTGAATTCGGATTACTTAGTCGAGATGATTAACCTTAATTTGATTAACGAAAGACTTATCAATAGTTTATTGATTGTGCTTTAGTATGCTTTATTTTCTAGAATCCACTTGTCTCAACCTAATATCACTTGAATTGTTGTTTTCCCGAAATTAAGGCTCTCTAAAACTACTTTGATTCTTTAAAGGAGCTTTTCTCTAAACTATAGTCTTGGGTTCATCTTTCATTTAAATCATGTTATTATCAATTTTCTAAATCAAGAATTTTACTAAGTAGTAATTACATTATCATCATACTCATACTTGTTTTCCCCGAAATTGCAATCGCAGCTCTTGCAGTTGCCCATTTTATAAATAATATTTTATCATCAGTTGATAAATTTCTATAAATTTTCAATTTACACTACATTATTCTTCCTTTTGGGGTTTTGGGGTTTTGGGGTTTTGGGG